TAATTAGTTAATTGTGAGGTAATTTGGGGTGATTAATTAGGGATAAATAGGAAGAATTAATTGGGATTGAGTAATTAGGGGAAGGGGTTAAATAAAAGGGGGGGGCGAACTGATAAAAGGGGAGATGGGGTGGTAATAAGAAATAATGTTAATTAAAAGGTTCATTAAGGGGGTTGGTTAATTAAGGGGAAGGGAAAGGGTCACGTCCTAATTTTAGGGGGATAAACCCAAATTTTGGGGGTCTCAAACTTTTATAGGACAGGAAAAACCAGGGGGTGACAGGATTAATTAAATAATTAAGGGATTAATGCTTTAATTAACAGGAAGAGGATCAGCGTGGGTATTCAGGGCAGCACTAATGAATGGAAAAAAAGATTTAATTAACCACAATCAATTAATTAAGCACTCACCCCGTACCCCCACCCCTTTCAGGAGGGGCTCTGGGGGGACTCCTCGATCGTTCCTGGGGAGTTTTTTTGGGGCTGGGGGCTCGGTTTAGCCCCTTCCTCATATCCTGCAGAGGATCCAGCACCGCTTTGCGACCCCCCTGAACTTCGTGGGGGTCTCCCCGAGTCCCCTCCCCACGTCTGGGGGGCTGCAGGTACCAGGGGGGGCAGGTCTGGGCCTCGGCCGCGCTTTGGCCCAGGTAGGTCAGGACACCCAGGGCTCGCTCCCGACGCTCCTGAGGGGGGGGGGGACAAAAATTGGGGAGGGGGATTTGAGGTGACGCCCCCTGGGTGAAAATAGCCCCAAAATTCCGCTTTTTTTCTACCCCAAATTCGCGGTTTTTCCACCCGAATTCCGCCATTTTCCACCCCCCACCCCTCCAATCTCAGCCTCACCTGAGGGGGAAAATTGAGGAGGGGGATTCAGGTGACCCCTCCCGAGTGAAAATTTCTCCTTTTTTTCCCAAATTTCCCTGAATTCACCCCCCAAAAAATCCCATTTTTTTTTGCTCCTTCAGCTCTTCCTGAGGGTAGAATTTAAGGCTGTGGCCGTCCCCAAATCCCCCTTTTTTCCACCCGAATTTTATTTTTACGCTCCCCCCCCCACCCCAACCTCCCCTCACCTGAGGGGTCCCCAAAATCCCGCCCCTCCCCCCCCCTCACCCCTCACCTGTTCCCGCCTTTTTTCCGCCTCGTGCTCGCGGTTCGGGGCCTCCTCAGGAGGGGGGAACAGCACGGGGGGGGCCGGGGGGGAGGGGCTGCGACCCCCGACCCGCGCCCGCTTCCTCAGGAGCTCGGTGCGCACCTGAGAAGGGATAAAGAGGAAATCAGCGACCCCAAATTTGCAAAATTTTTAAACCTTCCCCCCCCCCCAAAACGGCGTTTTTTAGCCCAGTCCATCCCCCCCCAGCATAGATGAAAATGGTTCACTCCAAGCAACATCAATCACGCTAAGCCACGCCCATTATTTATAATATATTCGCTTCCTCGCGAGCTGATTGGCTCGCAGGTGTTAAGCCCCGCCCCCTCCTCCCCCCTCCATTACCCCCCCCATCCGTTTCCCTCGGCACTCGCCTCCTGCTCCGCCCGCAGCGCGCGCGCGTCCCGTTTCCTCCGCTCCACCTCGGCCGCCGCCTCGTCCCGCCGCACCCGCGCCACATTGTCCTTGTTCCGAACGTGCCACGACTTCTTCGGGAGGATGTTCATGATGGCGGCGGCGGAGCGGGAGCGACAGCGGGACCAGGCCGCGATTCTGAGGCGCCGTGGCCGCCCCTCCTTCCCCCTCCGCCCTCTCTTTTCTGATTGGTGGAGCTCCTGTCGATCGTACTTTCTCGCGCTCTGATTGGCCCAGCCGTTTCGCTCCGCCCCTTATCGCGCTCTGATTTGCTGAGGGCTGTAGTTCCGCCCTCTTTGCTGCCTTTGATTGGCTCACCCGCCTTCCTTAAAGGGGCGACGCCGGAAGTGAGGGGTTCCCTCCTTCTCGCACTGTGGGAGCGCCGCCATGTTGAACCGTGAGGGGAGGCGGGGGCATCCCTGAAAACTCCCCGCAAAAAAAAACCCCAAACCCCCTCGGGATCCCCTAAAATAACCCTAAAACCCCTTCGGGAACCCTCAAAATCTCCTTGGGGAGCTCCCGGCCCGAGTTCTTTGCAGGATTTGCACCAATATTTGCCTCATTTCCCTCAAAGATTCATCGTAGGGCCTCGGTGGTCCCACAGCATCAAGTCGGTTCAGGGGGATTTTAATTCATTTTTAATATTTGGCTCCATTTTAGATGTGTTCGAGTCAATCTTAGGGGTTTAAG